CTCTCAGGTTCAAGCAGTTCTCTTGCCTTGGCCTCCCAAGTAGCCGGGTTTACAGGCATGCACCACCATGCCTGGCTAAATTTTTATGTTTTTAGTACAGACAGGTTTTGCCATGTTGGTCAGGCTGGTCCTGAACTCCTGATCTCAGGTAATCTGCCCAGCTGAGCCTCCCAAAGTGCTGGAATTACAGAGGAGACCCACCATGCCCGGCCTATTCCTTATGATTTTCTTAATAACATTTTCTTTAGTTTACTTTATTGTAAGAATACATATATAATATATATAACATATATAATGTGTTAATTGTTGATGTCAATTAACACATATGTTATATATACTATTCAACATATATAATGTGTGTTATATGTGTTAATTGACTGTTGATGTCAAGGCTTCTGGTCAATAATAGGCTATTAGTAGTTATGTTTTTGGAGAGCCAAAAGTTATATGCAGATTTTTGACTGCAAGGGAGGTTGGCACCACTAACACCCACATTGTTCAAAGTTGTATTTGTGTATGATGATGTATATTTAAAAACTCCCCAAGAATTCCCAGATAAATTGGTAGAATTATTATTCTTTTAGGTTTTTGTTGTTGTTGTTGTTGCTGTTGTTTGTTTTTTAGAGATGGGATCTCATTTTGTTGGCCAGGCTGGTCTGGAACTCCTGGCTTCAAGCAATCCTCCACCTCAGCCTCCCAAAGTGCTGGGATTATAGGAGTAGAATTATTATTGTAACGATAATGGTAAGATTAGTGTTTTTATCTAGCAACCAACAATAACTGCTACAAAGAGGAACAAAAGCTTAACTTCCACAACTTAATTCATGGCCCTGTGCAATCCCCTCCCATACTGAAGGGCTGATCTGAATAACCATTAAGACATAACAGACAGACTATGGCTTCTGAGGCTAGGTCATAAAAGACACTGTGGCTTCTGCTTTGTTCACTTGGATTGCCTGTTCTGGGAAAAGCCAGCCACCATGTCGTGAAGCTGAATACTCTGGTAGCTTTGGGGAGGGGTCCTTACTATAAGGAACTGAAACCTCCTGCCAACAGCTGACACTGACCTGTCAGCCATGCGAGGGAAACATTTTCGAACTAGATCCTTCAGCCCCAGTCAAGTCTTCAGATGACTGCAGCCCTGGCTGCCATAATGGACTGCAACCTCATAAACTGCTGGGCCAGAATTATCTAGCTAAGCTCCTCCTAAATTCCAGACCCACATAAACTGTGTGAAATAAAAAATGTCTGCTGTTGTTTTAAGCTGTTACTTTGGTGGTAATCTGTTATATAGAAACAGATAACTAATATACATTCAAGGAATAAATCTAATTTAAGATGTGAAAGATTTATTTAAAGAAAGCTATAAAACTTATTGAAATATATGTAAGAAGACCTCGATAAGTGAACACTCAAAACTACTAGTTATAAGTCTGGGGCATAATTGCCAATTTGGCACCAGTATTATAGAGAGATATACCATATTCCTGATTTGGAAGAGAATATTGAAAGACGCCAATTGTATTAGTCTGTTCTCACACTGCTATAAAGAAATATTTAATACTTGGGACTAGTTTTTTAAAAAAAGGAGTTTAATGGGCTCACAGTTCTATAGTCTGTACAGGAAGCATACTGGCTTCTGGGGAGGCCTCAGGAAACTTACAATCATGGTGGAAGGTGAAGGAGAAGCAAGCATGTCTTATGTGGCCAGAGCAGGAGGAAGAGGGTGAGTGGGGAGATGCTACAAGCTTTTAAACAACCAGATCTTGTGTGAACTCACTCACTATACAGTACCAAGGGGGGATGGTGCTAAACCATTCATGAGAACTTCGCCCCCATGATCCAATCATCTCCCAAGACACCCCTCCTCCAACACTGGGGATTACAATTGGAAATGAGATTTGCGTGGTGCACAGTTCCAAATCATTGTCACCAGTTATCTTCAAATTGATCTTTAAAGGTCCAAGAACAGCCAAGACACTCTTGAAAGATATGGCAGGGGGATGTGACCTAACAGAGTCATGGTTCCTTTTGGGAGACAGAATT